CTAAAGAGCGGGAAAGACGAGTGAGTCCCTTAAACTTTTGAAAGCTTATTGTCACGACCCGTGTTATTAAAATCCATGCCTTGTAGCTTAAAGAACTATGTGTAAGCAAGGCGTTATCACTTTGGTAGCAAAACTTTACGCTTCTGGAAAGTGTGTTCTTCAAATGATGATGCCAAAGTGAATCCAACCAGAAGCGGTTAAATATTTGAATCTCAACTTTGAGGAGTCGGGTTAATATTAGCATTATTGTATATTGGATGCTAAATCAGTTATTTTAATTATATCATAGTACTAGATTCATATGTGATCGGTATTTTCTAATCTTTCTGTAAATTGTGTGCTTCACTTCAAAGAAGCATGCACTTCACTTCTCCCTTTTCTTTTCAAGTCTTGTGGACTTTGTCACTTTTTCCACTTTTCGTTTTAAGAAGCACTATTCACGACATTATTTATTTGAGCATTTGTCGCAATTGCTATGTAGCAACATCTGAATCTTCTTTGATGATAGGTTCCCATGACGAGGCTCAGGAAAAGAGTTGCTACCCGCTTGAAAGATTCTCAGAACACATTTGCATTGTTGACTACATTCAATGAAGTTGATATGTAAGTTTGGATTGTAATTTTGATAAACAATTAATGAGTGTCTTTGTCGTATGTTATATGCTTAATCCTAGTGCTATCAGAAAGATAGAAGTCCTCTGATACCATGATAAGAAGTCCTCTGATACCATGATCTATGTTACATGGATTCATCAATGGGTGCATATTCAGTATGTGTGTGGAAGCATCCGGTTCCGGCATGCTAATGTTTGCCAACGTCTAATGTATTTTGAAGAATCCACGCGAAATACCCACACCCATGTTACACCCGTTCGACATGGGTACATCAAGGAACATGAAGGATCCTTGTAACGCGGTCCCTTTGATGACTAAAATTGGTTTAGTTGCCTTCCAAATAATAGTACTTATCTTTCTTTTTGATGAATTTTTCAGATAGCAAGTGACCTTTGAGGTTATAACTTTAGTTTCTTTCTCAAGTTGATATCCTGGATGCAAATTTGTTTCTGTTCTAATCCATTAGAGGTGTACGAGGCATTGTCATAGCCCATGAAGTGTTTGTTAGGCACCATTGTATTAGTTGTATTCATTTTCTCCAATCTTGGTTGTTGCAGGACAAATTTGATGAAGCTCCGATCTGATTACAAAGATGCATTTGTTGAAAAGCACGGAGTGAAGTTAGGACTGATGTCTGGATTTGTGAAAGTATGAGAAGCATCAATGTCAATACTTTTTCTTTTTACATATTGGTTGACAAATTCTGACGAAAAACATCTATTACTTGTCCCAACAAAAAAACTCTGACGAAAAGGATTATACGAAATTTCAGGCAGCAGTTAGTGCACTCCAGAATCAACCTATAGTTAATGCAGTTATTGATGGCGATGATATCATATATCGGGACTATGTAGACATCAGTATAGCTGTTGGTACCCCAAAGGTAGGCCCACCCTTCCCTTGCCTCGATATTTTGAATATTATAGACAGTTCATGGAAAATCTGTAATCTGATTTCTCAATCTTGTCCTTCTATCTGCTTTTGGGAATCTACTCTTTTGAGTTTATTGTCAATGTTTTCCAACTTTCTTTTTTCAAATTAATAGGGTCTGGTCGTCCCTGTTCTCCGCAATGCTGAGAAGATGAATTTTGCTGAGATAGAGAAGACAATAAACGGACTCGCTAAGAAGGCAACTAATGGGACCATCTCAATTGATGAAATGGCTGGAGGGTCATTCACAATATCCAATGGTGGTGTGTATGGAAGTCTTCTAAGTACCCCTATCATAAATCCTCCTCAGGTATGTGTCCTTGTTGAGACATAGAAGGGTAGCAATTTCTCGTGGAGTGATCTCACCATTTAAGTTTGTTGCTTGATTTTGTAGTCGGCTATTTTGGGAATGCACTCAATTGTGAATCGCCCAATGGTTGTTGGAGGCAACGTTGTGTCAAGACCAATGATGTACATTGCGCTGACATATGACCATAGGCTGATTGATGGAAGAGAGGCAGTGTACTTTCTGAGAAGGATTAAAGATGTGGTTGAAGATCCACGTCGCCTACTCCTTGATGTTTGAAGATATACAACCATCTCTGGCTTTTGATTGACTGTTCATGGTATACCTGAGTGCACACTCAAGCTTAAAACCAGAATAAACATGACAATGTCACAGTTTTGGAGGCCTTGAACATTGTTTTTTCCCCTGATTATTTAATATGCTGCAACCATCTATACTTGAGATGTGCAAATAGAGCTATGTTGCAATTCAATCTTTCCCTTCCCTGATTCACTTTTTCCACAACTCTTTACTTTTGACATGATGCTGAAAAAGGATTATTTCTTGTTTATATTTCACCAACTTGAACTGTTTTTATACATTTCAGTTTCATGTTATGCAGTTGCTCCTGTCCTCTGGATTTGTGGCAATACCTTTCGTAGAACTGCACGGGTAGCCCAATTGGATTCACACCTGTGTTTTTAGATACCGTGGCCTCTATTTTCCGGATACATCTCTTGACCTAATTAGAGTACTGCGTTCTTTCAGTACTGTGGTTAGTCCCATAATCATGTCCCATAATCTGTCATGCATTATTGCTATAAAATATAAAAAGGTTGTCTTGCTCTTGATGTAATTGTGTCTCTCTTGTCATTCCTCCTAATTGCATGTGAGAAGGAATGGAAGAGTTTACAAGATATGGAGACATTAGGAATCTTATGCAGGTTGGATGCACATGGCCTTCAATGCTTAAAGGCTCGGTATAAAGCTTTGTGGTCTTTCTTTTGCAGATAGCAGGGATCAAATTAAGAGGACAAATTCCCTAGTCTTGTTTGCTTCTGAAGCGACTAAGATGTATATTCCCTTAGAGCCACGTTGTCTTGTTTTGATCTGTCAATTTTTGAATCAACTAACCCTTTTGACTGAACCTTAATATTATTATTATTATTTTAATAAAGGAAAGAAGGCTCGTAAGTTATCCCAAAAAGAATATCAAGTTTATAAACAGTCAGACGAACGGCTAGTGCCACCTTTTTTTTTTTTTGGTATCGAAGAAATCATAAGCCGCAGGGATAGATTCCTTCGTTTTCGTTGGTAGGGCTAGAGAAGGGAATAACAATTGGGTAAAATTTTCATGTGGCGCCTAATTTTGTGCTATCCATTGAATTGGGCGAATTGCAGCAATAGCCCCTTTAAAGCCCGATATTTAAATATACCCACAATTTACAATGTATTTAAAGATTAGCTAATGCACCCAAGCTTCAAGACTAAGTATCCTAAATTTGGAAATTCAGGACTTAGTGTCCTGAATTTTTGAGCTGTTAATTTGAAATTCAGGACTAAGTGTCCTGAATTGCTGAACTAATTTAAAATTCAGGACATAAGATTCGAATTCAGGACACAATTTTCGAACTTTGGGACATGATGTCCTGAAGTTTGAATTTTGAGGTTTAAACTCTAGGACGTTGTGTCCTGAAGTTTTAGCGAAATTGGCTAATCTTTAAATACATTGTAAAGTGTAGATATATTTAAAAAAACATGCTTAAAAGTGGCTACTTGGTGTCATTTCCACCATTGAATTTGTACTCATTTTCTAAAAAAGTTTAAGCGATACCCAATTTTTTGGTAAATACAGATACATACATTTTTCCCTTCTTCTTTGTTGTTGCTTTCTTCTTTTTTGTGCTTAGAGTTTTTTCTTCTTCTTAGTTGCAAAATGAGTTTGTTAAATTTATTGTTGTTGTTGTTTTGACAATTTGATAATTGAGGTTTGTTCTTTATAATATTTAAAAGTCATGTTTCAAATTTGAGTTCATTTGGAGTAGATTTAGGTGTTGAATCGTGTGTTGAATAGTAAAAATTCGAAGAACAAGTTTATGTTTCAGAACTTAAGATTCAAATTTCTGAAGTTGCATGTGAAAGATAGAAGAATTTCAGATTTAATTTATGAAGTTGCATTGAAGATATTAGACTCAAATCCGAACCGGTACACTTTGCAAGAATATGTACAATGAAGGTATAAATTTTTAATTGCCCCAAAAGTGGGTACATATAAAAATGCCCCTGAAATTGGTGCAAACACTAAATTGTGTATTCGGCGTGTTTCGTATTGTTAAAGTGCCAAATGTAGGAGTGTCAAATTAGCATGATTTATGTTATCCCTTTATGTTACTCCCTCAAAATTTGACGAGTTGGAAGAGCCTGTTAATCGAGGGTGCATCATAATGGGTTAAACTCGACATTTAGGCTTGCGCTAAATTGAGCTGGAAGAGTCGAAACAAATTGATTCTTGATTCGTTATTTTGGGCTAAAATAGTTAAATCGTCTAAAATAAATATATGAATAAACAATAGAATATATAGAAAGAGAATTGTTTTTAATCTAATTGCACGAAGAAATTATTATAGAAGTAGTTCTAAGTTAAGCATGACCCACAATTTGACTCATATTTATTTGAACATATTTGGATACCATTATCAAGGAATGTGATAGGATGGATGATCTCTCCGCCTTTAATTAGGGTCTCGAGTTTGAGCCTAAAAATATAAAAACTACTCTTGTAAGGAGTTATTTCCTAATAAAACTTACACAAATGAATGCGTTTATTTAAAGGAAAAAAACATATTTCAATCCACAAGTTAAATCATAATCCATACTTTTACTTAATCTGTTTTGACTCGCCAGACCACCTCGTCCATTTGGCACCCCAACCAAATTTTGCACATAGGTTTTGTGTAAGGCAAAAAAAGGTTTCCATTTCCCATTGGATTTAAGGTTTCGATTCCGTAGTTGAAAGGGATCGAAGTATTTTGCAATTTGGGGCGGCAATCCAAACAAGAATTCCCCTTTGACGTGTTCACGGGTTCAATAAAAGAAGCCTCCATTTACGTGCCACCACACACATTCCTGAACCAAACTACAAGTAAATCAGTTGGAAACCACAAGCATTTTCCTTTGTTCTTTCCTACTTTTTAGTCCCTAAGCATTTTCCTTTGTTACTAGCACGCTTTTAGAGTTGAGTTAAATATTTTCCTTTACCTCACTAATAATTCATCACAACAACAACCAAAAGTTGTGTTTTTTGAACATTCAACGACAATATGATTCAACCGTTATTCGCACTTGTATTTTTTGAAGTGGCAGTGGTATTGATCCTCGTATTCCGAACCCCTTTAAGAAAACCTGTTTTGATGGCATTGGATAGATCAAAACAAGGGAGGGGACCTGTCATAGTAAAGAGTGCTGGTGGAACCTTATTTGTGGTTTTAGTCTCAATCTTGTTCAATGTCACTATTATTCAGAACCGTGCCACGGAATCTGGCACTGTCAATCCAACTGATCAAGTTCTATTGGCTAATCACCTCCTAGAAGCGTCACTCTTGGGTGAATCTCGTGTACCTCTACATCTTTTATGTTATAATTTCTGTCACATTATATTTGGCAGAAAAAGATCTATTTAAACTTTATAAATTAGCCGGATAGAGTTTTAACCATGGCTCATACATAATACATAACCAACATAATGCTTATACATAACACATCCATTACCTGATAAAACAAAAAAAAAAAGAATCTGTAAAAAATATTATCAACTGTAATGGAAACCCCCAAATCCAGAGCTTATGATCTTAAAGTTCCAACCCAATTACAACGATGCACTTCTTAGTACGTTTTCTTACTCCAATATTTTCTAAGAGTTTTTTTTTTGTCTAATAGAAAATATAGAGAACTTCTAATATTTTTTTAGTAAAACAAATATTTTATTTAATATTAGTTTGAGATGAGTTAAAATAGAGATCCTGAAGATTTATATAACTGGCCCCAACTTACTTAGAATTGAGGCACGGAAGTAGTTTTTATGTTAATATCTTAATATATTTGGTATCTGACGTAGAATAATGTCTTTCTTTGTTCTGGTGTACATGCAGGATTTTCATTGTTTCTTGCATTGGTCATAGATAGACTTCACTACTATATAAAAGAGCTGCGTCTGCTAAGGAAGACTTTGGAGGCAGAAAAGAAAACAAAACAGAGCCGCGAGGTGGAAAATGTGACACCAAAAAGTCCGACCAAAAGTACATAGACATATGGAGGCTATATATCTAAGTTTTACCAACTATATTTTCTGTTTGTTTGATCTTTTAGGTCGTCTTTAACACGTATATTTGACATTTCCTGGTGCACGACGATGTTTTTTTTTTTCCTCCAATTATTTTAAAACTCCTTTGTATTCCTAAATGTCTGATGGTGATTTGTAATTTGTTTATTCCAAGAGTATACTGTTATTTAACTGCCACTCTTGTTGTCAAACTACCAGGAAATAGAAATGGAAAGGAACCATAAAGTTTCAATGACTTGCTTGTTTGAAAATTTTCAAAAAATAGAGCATGTAAAAAGTTTTGACAGTTTGCAAACTCTATTTATTGGAGTTGTTTTTGCAAAACAAGAAAAGTTAAAACTTTTTTTTTTTTTTTTTGTGAAGATTTCCGAACTCCATTACAAATTTTTTATTGCTATTTAGTGTTGGCAATATAGGCCTGAAAAAATATCTAGAAGAATCAATAGAGACATTTGTACCTTGTCAAAGTAAGGAACCATATCATATATGTTTGGACTAGATTCTATTTTGAGAAAGTCAAAAAAGCACCGTCTCGTTGTAAGGTTTTATATATTTGACCTTTCTCAACAGACTCCGTTGTTCCTCCTTTCAAATGATAATTATTTCCAAAACACGAAATGTGAATCAAACCCATGTTTGAATTGAAACTAAGTTTTTTAACTCTTTACAAAACGACAGTTCGCTGCAACTATCTGTTTATTTTACTAACTCGTTTCATTTGATGACATCAACATGCTACCGACTTTACAACAACAAACAACAATGACGACCCAGTGTAATCCCACAAGTGGGGTCTGGGGAGGGTAATATGTACGCATACCTTACCCCTACCCCGAAGGGTAGAGAGACTGTTTTCAGGAGACCCTCGGCTCAAAAAAGCAATAGGAGATGATATATTAGTACCATAAAAATGCGTAATAAAAATAACAACAATATATAAGAGATATGAAATATGAAATACAGGATACGAAATACTAAATACGAAATAGATGGCTGATATAGTACCACTAGAAGGTAAAGCCCTGCATCAATAGATGACCAATGACATTCCTAGTCTAACTCCTAACTAGATAGTCTCCCTCTATTGTGCTGTAGAAATATTCACTCCCCTAACCTACAACCTTAGTGCTCGACCTCCATAATTCCCTATCAAGGGCCATGTCCTCAGTAATCCTAAGTCGCGCCATGTCCTGTCTGATCACCTCTCCCCAATACTTCTTAGGTCTCCCTCTACCTCTCCGCGTGCCCACTACAGCCAGTCGCTCACACCTCCTCACCGGTGCATCAGTGCTCCTTCTCTGAATGTGCCCAAAACATGCTACCGACTTTATAACTTTATATTCATCTCCAGCTTGGGCAAGAGAAGTAAAATTTGAGGGCATCTGACATGAATTAATTTCCTTTTTCCAACTAAATCAGAATACATATTGGTTTCCGAAGAATTAAAACTGATTGACAACACAGGCATAGAGCATAAACCAACGTACTTTTTGTGGATGTGGTATAACATATTTGAACTTTCCCATTTAAACTATAGAATACATGACCCCTGTAGTGAAGAAACCAAAGTAGAAAATATAAATGAAGATATAACTATACACATAAACAAATCGGACACCAGAAAAGCTTAAATAGTACTTATACATTTGACAGATGCCAACTTAGAACAAAAGAAGACTACAGTGACAAAGTAAGCTACACGACACTTTCGCAGAGCAGGTTATTTTCCTGCTTTTTAAGACCCTCCCCTTGAACAAGTTCACGACTATTGAGGAACTTGATAGTAGATTGAAGATATTTGTTGTCAGAAACCAAAGACAGCTTGGCAGTTTCCACCAGCTTGGAGCAAATATCAGATGCTCCTTCACATGCCTGATTAACAAGTATTCTAGGATTAAAAAAGGGAACTTAGACTATTCAATTGCATCACACCTTTCAAACCTTCCAACTTTTTCACATCCATCAGATATAGGACGGATTTGAAAAAGATTTCTTTTTCTATTTGGTACTGTTATCAATTCGAATGTCTTGGTTATTAGGTGCAGATTCAGATACCAAACAGGACGTGAGGTCCTTCAGTCAATAATTTCAGAAAAAAACAATAAGAACTGTGACTTACTTCGAAAGAAGATGCAATAGCATTGCAAGCATCAAGTGAAAGATTTCCACTAGCGGCCTTCAAAGAGAGTGTTCAGAATTAGCTTAACAATGGTCCCCTTATTCTTTTTCCTCTCAAGCAAGAGCAAGTGATGAGCGAGATGTTACCTGGATTGGTTCTTGTAAAACAGTATCGATTAAGCTCTGAAGAATAACCGCAGAAAATGATAGAAGCTCTTGCATATATTGTTGATCACCATAGAACAAAGAGTCATTGCCCATAACCTGGATATGTGATAAATCAATATTGAGAGGTTAAATTCACTAGGACACTTAGGAAAGAAAGAGAAAAAAATGTAGATATCAAATCAGAGGAATGAAAAACTGGTAAGATATCTTAGGTGGTTCCATTTCTAGGACAATCTTTCTCAGGTTGTGTCCATCATTTAGTAACACACAATGCCAGAAAGTGCAAGCCTTTATGCCCACAACAATATTACAATGACCTTTTCTAAACGGAAAATATATATATTTATAACTTGCATTTCATTCCAGTAAACGAAATACCCAATGTATATTTCTCATTGCACCAGTAAATAAGATGGCCACATGGAGAATGGGCTACTATGCATAAATGTCAATACACATTTTTATACTCGTGCAGCATTCATCCCACACTGCTGTAAGGGCCACTCAAGATGTTGCTGGTAGATAGCCAAATACTATCTCAGTGAGAAAAATAAAAGAAGAGAAGACTGACTTGATATATACAAGACACTTATTTTTAGGTATCAAACACAACACACATGATAACTCTCCAATGTGAGATCCCTTAAGAACTTAGTATTAACATTCCAACTCAAACACTCAACATTCTGATAGTACCTCTCTAACAGAAAATCATTCTCCTTCCTTCCCCTGCTTGCCACCCTCTCATCAGCTAGCAAGGGATGGAATCTTACAATTATTCCTCGGACATCTTTACTTTTATGCTTTAGTTTGTATTGCTTGAAAGCAAACTAAAGATTTTAACACAAGAAACTTTTTTTTTTTTTTACATAAACACAATGGGAAGTTTGTGGCAACTAGAATGATGAAGCCTAAGTTCCTTGTGGCTTTCATTCAAAACTTTATCCTATCTACAACATAAATAAGAAACTGGCCTAAAATGATTTCGTTCTAGTGATAAACAATGAGAGAATAAACAGAAAATATGCAGTTTTGAAATATTTATTTGTTTGATGGATCAAAGTGTTTGTTAATAAGATACCAAGTTGGTGTCATACAACAGAATAAATAAATAAAATAATAAGAACATGTATTGAGCCTTTCAGCAAAACTACCAAATCATGCATACAAGACAGAGTTTCCTTTTTGTGCTAAAAATAGCGGGCAAAAGAGAACTCTAACCGCCTAACCAATTGATAAGAATCGACCTTGGGCCTAACTCAAACCCAAACCCAAACGCTAGCTTATGAGGTAAGGATTGACCAAGCCATATAAGGAGACCAAGGACCTCAAATCCCACCGATGTGGGACAACTCAACCCCCC